ATGTGCCCAAGACATTCGTCTCTTTAGTTTATAAACAGGCAGTGATACGGCAAACAAGCCTAAAGATCAGATTTCAGGCATATAAAATGTGGCTAGAAACTTTCCTCTGATCACCTGTGGATATTATATTCTTCTACTTCCAGCACTACAATCTTGTGCTGACTTTGGCTTGCTTCACGATACGTTGACATTCCGATTTCTCAGATGCTGCTGTTCTGTTCATTTACCGTGATATTAATTAAGCTTATCAGCTTCTGCAATACACCCAGTTTTGCTAGCTGTTGTAGCATCTATTTTATATTTATTTTATCAAAGTCCATCATATATTCGAAGAGTTGTTCCGCATAGTATGTATATGATCTATATTTGAGCGAATTGACTTAAGTCCATTTTGATATTCTCCTAGGGTTCATTCGGAATAAGGTTCAATATGGTGTTCTCTCCTGGTGCTCTCAATAGTTCAGCAGATATTGCATCCTTTCCAGGAGCTTAGAGTCATTTCCAGAAGCTTAGAGTTATTTTCTCTTTTCTTTCTACAGCTGATTCTGTTGGGTTTTCTCCGATATTCTTCATATTCAGCTTCACAATTCATTTCGTTATTTTTGTGGTGGTCTATAACGTCTTGGTCAGTTCAATTCATGATGTCTCTTAGTGTCTTACATTCATCTTGTTATTCCTTTTCTTTCCTTTTGTATTAATCTCCCAATTCCATCTTTTTATGTTTTCTACTTTTTTTTTATTTGATATTAAGACCTGGTCGACTATCTGCTATCTCAAAGCACTGGTTCCAGGAAGTACTTTAATTACTTTAAAGGACCAATGGTGGCAAAGTAACAAAATGCCAGTAACAAAATTCTTGATGCATTAGGCATATTTTTTATTCATAACGTCTTTTTCCATCTGTTTTAGTATTTACGTTAGAGTTGATATTATTAAGAAAAAGCGTCCAATTTTGACATTTTGTGGTTTATGCTATATCATTAGAAACTAGTGATAGATAAATACGAAATAATTATGGATTATGGTTTCTTGGTGCATTACGAATATTTTTTATTCATAACGTCTTTCTCCATCTTTATTAGTATTTACGTTATAGGATATTTTAAATTTTATTAGGGAAAATCATCCAAGTATGACATTTTGTGATTTATGCTATATCACTTGAAACTGGTGATAGATAAACATGAAATGATTATGGATTATGATTTCTTGATGCATTAGGAATATTTTTATTCATAACGTCATTCTCCATCAGTTTTAGTACTTAAATTATAGTTGATTTTATTAAGAAAAATCGTCCAATTTTGACATTTTATGATTTATGCTATATCATTAGAAACTGGTGATGGATAAATATGAAATGATTATGGATTATGATTTCTTGATGAATTAGGAATATTTTTCATTCATAACGTCTTTCTCCATCAGTTTTAGTACTTAAGTTATAGTTGATTTTATTAAGAAAAATCGTCCAATTTTGACAATTTGTGATTTATACTATATCATTAGAAACTGATGATGGATAAATATGAAATGATTATGGATTATGATTTCTTGATGCATTAGGAATATTTTTTATTCATAACGTCTTTCTCCATCAGTTTTAGTACTTAAATTATAGTTGATTTTATTAAGAAAAATAGTCCAATTTTGACATTTTGTGATTTATGCTATATCACTTGAAACTGGTGATAGATAAACATGAAATATCTAATTACGGATTATGATTTCTTGAAGCATTAGGAATATTTTTTATTCGTAACTTCTTTCTCCATCAGTTGAGTACTGAAGTACTGAACTTAAGTACTGACTTAAGTTCTAGGTTATTCTATTAAAAAAAAATCGTCCAATTTTAACATTTTGTTATTTATGCCACATCACTAGAAACTCGAACGATCATAACGCAAAAATTAAAAGTGGCGGAGAAAAATCTTTTGTATATAACGTGTTTCAATGACCCAAAAAGACATAATACATAAATGTTAGAATAATTTAGTTGATAATTATTTTGATCAACGTTTATTTTATAATAAATATTTAGATCACTTGACCTGTTAACATTTTATATGTGGTAAGCATAGTGATATAAAAAAATGTTGTCGTTGTTAGTTTTTATGATTTTGACATACATATATAAGATCCTGTTCAAAATTGGCAAAAATAAAATTCCCGCTAAAGCCATAAAGTTGTTTAATTAATCAAGAAAGTCCATTAATAAACTAGCGATAGATAAATACGAAATAATTATGGATTGTGATTTCTTGATGCATTAGGAATATTTTTTATTCATAACGTCTTTCTCGATCAGTTTTAGTACTAAGTTAGAGTTGATTTTATTTAAAAAAATCGTCCAATTTTGACATTTTTGGGATTTATGCTATATCACTAGAAACTGGTGATAAATAAATATGAAATAAGTGTGGATTATGATTTCTTGATGCATTAAGAATATTTTTTATTTACAGCGTCTTTCTCCATTGGTTTTAGTACTTACGTTAAAGTTGGTTTTAATAAGAAAAATCGTGCAATTTTGACATTTTATAATTTATGCCACATCACTAGAAACTAGCGATAGATAAATACGAAATAATTATGGATTGTGATTTCTTGATGCATCAGGAATAATTTTTATTCATAACGTCTTTCTCCATCAGTATTAGTACCTACGTTATAGTTGATTTTATTAAGAAAAATCGTCCAATTTTGACATTGTGTGATTTATACTATATCCTTAGAAACGGTTGATAAATAAATATGAAATAAATATCAATTATGATTTCTTGTTGCATTAGGAATATTTTTTATTCATAACGTCTTTCTCCATCAGTTTTAGTACTTATGTTATAGTTGATTTTATGAAGAAAAATCGTTCAATTTTAACATTTTATGATTTATGCTAGAAACTTTATCACTAGAAACTGGTAGTATACTTTGGTAGTATAGTTGATATACTCAATTAATACCAATTTTATGATATCTGATTTGCTCTTTTCAGCAGTAAAAATTCCTAATGCATTAAGAAATCATAATCTACACTTATGTCATATTTATCTAAAATCCAAAACTAATTGGTTTAACCATTACAATTGTTAGAGAATTCTAAATACCTTTTCAAATTTTGGTTTTTTAAACTTTATTAAAGTTCCTTTATTCCATCATTATATCTCCATTCGTTATTTACATACAATTCTTTTTAAATTTTTATCCTAAAAACCTTAAAAATCAAATGTGCAGAGTTTGATCTAAAAATCATAACAACAATGTACGTGGAAAATAAGAAATTATTTTTGGCACACTAATTCTTCATTAAATTTACTTCAAAATATTCGTTATTTTATCATTATATCTCAATTCGTAGTTGAGATATGACTATTTAATTTCCACTTTTTACTTTGTTGCATTCCTTTATAAAATTGGATTTCTTTTTAAAATTCTATTTTTTTAATATTGCTGTGATATTTCTAGGAAATATAGAAATTTTTATCTAGTTAAACATGGTAAAACAAAATTTTGAAAATCTCATTTAATTTCGGAGATGCAAATTTTTAATAACAATTGTAAATTTAAAGAATAACAATTATTGAGTAATCGTTAAAAATCTATTTCTCACCCAATTGATTTGAATATAAATCAACTTATAAAGGAAAGAATCACCTTTTCAGTGGTAAAAACCGTTTTTGAAAATTACTTTTAGTTTTGGAGTTACAACTGTTGAAAATATTTAAATATAATTATTTATTTTATCATGAAGAAATTGGATTCTTAATATTTAAATGTTTATTAGGAAGGTTTCTTATCCTTAATTTAACAAGTAACCTTGAAGACAAAGAAAGAGTTAGTATAATAGGTATAAGCTGTTATCAGTTATCGTTAAGCCACTTTCTCATATAAAAGCTTCTTCCATTAACAATTTAACACCTTGATTATTGATGATGACTATTAATTTTTTTTAATACCTCTCGGTAATCGACTTCTAACACCAACCTAAATCATTTTCCGTTTTTAATTCGTTCTCTCAAAGTCCCAAAGTCAGGGTCGTCAACTATCAACATAACTCAACATCAAATTCAGAGAAGTTCGAATTCGCCGTAGTAAAAACGAACGACGTCGATCGGTCAAGTCGGTCCCATCATCCGTTCGTCCCCGTGACCTGCCCCCCCGAGCCCCCACGTCGGCCCCTTAACAAATAATTTGAATCCTCGACCCGACGCCGACCGCTTATTAATAATTCAATGGGAACGGGCGAACGAGCCGCTTCAGAAGCTGCCGCCGCCGCCTCGCGCGACCCGCGATTTAGTACCAAAAGAAGAAGAAGGCTTCTTCGACCGTCGGTCAGTCGTTCGAACGGCGTGCGGCCCCCTTACTTTATCGACGCCGACGCGATCGCCCCACGGGCATCTTTCTCTCTTTATCTTCAACGAAGGTAAAAAAACTCGAAAAAGGTTGCGAGGTGAAGAAGAGTGAGAGATGTGAAGATCAAGCTTGCTTAATTGGGTTTCGGAGTTAAGTAGTGATATTTTGGTATTAAATCGAGGAAAGCTTTTTGATTTCAGAACTTGTTGCGAATCAAAAACAATAATTTCATGAATTTGATGAAAAATAGAAATGATATACTAATTTGACATGCTTTTTTTAATTCCAAATTTTAATTTAATCTCCGAATTAAAATCGGAAACTTATTTCGTGGGTAATTAATTAGACCCAACCCTTGTTAGTGGCCTCATTCATTAACGACGGCTCGAGCCCCACCTGATTTTTACCTGAACTTGAATATCACTATCACAGGTAGAAAAAACCTTTCCACACGAAAAAGAAAAAAATATAACCCAACCAATCATTAGCAGAATCGAATTAAACCCGACTTAATGAAGCCCTAAAATTTTCGAAGATTTCTTATAAATCTTCATTAATTTTGCAATACATGTTCCGGCTTCTCGTAGTATATCGACTTTTGTCGCAACATTGTTGATAACTGAGTGTGCGCGCGTTCTATCGATTCGCAGCTTCCCGAAGAAGCACAGAGTTCAGTTGCCGCTCCTATCTCCGGGAAAACGCTTATCCGAAAGCTACCGGTATCAATTTTGAAGATGATTACATGAAACGGAGGTCGTTAGGGGAGTGTACAGTGTGAGATGTTGCCCTATCCATTCCTCCTTTTCGCCCTAACTTGTACGATTAAGCATGTCCTGTCGAATCCTGACGCCAAGCGGTTGTACGATGATCTTCTCAGCAATTACAACAGGTTAATAAGACCAGTTAGCAATAATACCGATACCGTTCTCGTTAAACTTGGATTAAGATTATCTCAATTGATAGAATTAAATTTAAAAGATCAAATTTTAACTACTAACGTTTGGTTGGAACATGTAAGTTATTAAAGAATTTATTTATTCTATCATTAAACATTGTTATTTATTACTATTTATTTAGGAATGGACGGACCATAAATTTATGTGGGACCCTAACGAGTACGGTGGAGTTACTGAATTATACGTTCCTTCCGAACATATTTGGCTTCCAGATATAGTACTATATAACAAGTAAGAATACAGTCAAACCTTCATATAACGGATTAATACGGGAAAGCACTTTAAATTGTTTGAATGAATAATTTTGATGCATACAAATTCGTACAGCTATCCACACCGAATTTATTAATAACTAAATCTTAGTTATTAATAACAACTAAAATTAATATTATTAGAATCAATGTTGCGAGATTAATTAATAAAAATGTGATTGGAAAATGCTAGATTAATGTTATATTTCAAAAATATTTTTTTAGCTGCATTTGTAATAGAGTTAAAGGGTATAGGTTTATGAATATTGGAATTTTGAATCTTAGAAAACAAAGGATCTTGTTTTAATTTAACTTTTTGTATTATTTTATTAATTATATTTGTAGGAAATTTGTTATTTTTCGCCAATTCAAAAATGTAATTAAGTTCAGAGATCTTATTTTCTTGTGAAAGAGGGTAATTAAAAATTCTTTCATTGAAAAATCGGAAGCTAGACAATTTTTGTAATATGGGATGATTCGAGTCGTATGGGATTATTGTGGCTATAGAAGAATTTTTCCTATAAATGTTAAAATTAATCTTATTTTCTATATTATTAAGTGTTAGATCTAAAAAATTTAAAACGTGATTATTTTCTATTTCGATGGTAACCTGTAATTTATTATGTAGTTGGTTTAGGTATTTATGAAATTCGTCCAAGGTGCTAAGATTTCTTTCCCATATGCAAAAAATATCTTATCCATTTAATTATATGTTTTCTGAAAGGATTCTGTTTTGTCATAATATAATTATTTTCATAATAGTCCAAGAATACATTTGCCAGAATGCCGGATAATGGCATACCCATGGGTAAACCGTCAGAAACATTTTAGCAGAAGCATTTTATTGAAGTCATTAATGTTTGTGTCGTCATCAAAATGATTTTTGAACATTTTATTAGTGAGATCCAAGACGAAATCAATTGGAATATTTGAGTAAAGGTTTACTACATCAAACGAGATTAGCACTCTATTATTAAGTTCCAAACCCTCTACTTCCTTTATAAATTGCAATGAATTTAATATAGAATAATTTGGTTTAAAATTCATTTCTTTGAAAATTTTTAACATGAAATATGCTAGTTTATATGTAGGTGAGTTATTATAGGAAGTTATAGGTCGTATTGGTATATTTTGTTTATGAAGCTTAGGTAAAGCATACAGTTTTGGGATTGTTGGGTTCATATGTATAAACAGAGTGCTGAAAAAGTTTGATTGGACTATCTTACTGTTAATATTTATATGTGGCGAGTACTTAATCAATGTGTCCCTACTTTTATTAATAATTTCTCTGGTTTTACGAATAACTATTTCTAAAGGGTTCCGCTCAAGTTCAACATAGTTATTTTCTTTTATAAATTGGTTAGTTTTTTCTATATATTCATCTTTACTTAATATAACAATGCCTGCGCCTTTATCGGCTTTACAATATATTGCATTATTTTCTTTTAGTTTGTTTTTAATAGATTTTATATATTTCCAGTGTTGATCATGAGAGAAATCTTTATTTTTACTCGGATTTAGCAGTGCGTTTCTTAAAACTGAATGTTTCCAGTTCTAGATCAAGTGTTAGTTCTAGTTTTACACTAGCACTGTTACTATGTAGAAGACTGTATGTAGAATCATTTGGGTTTAGCCGCACGTCTTTAAAGACGGCTAAACTTGAATGATTCTAGTTCTAGATATAGTGTTAGTTCTAGTTTTACACTTGCGCTGATACTAGAGTTAACATTAGACCTAGAACTAGAAACATTCGGGTTTAGCCGTGCGTCTCCTAAGACGGCTAAAGCCGAATGATTCTAGTTGTTGGTCTAGTGTTAGTGTCAGAGGTGGTGGATCTTTTAATTAAAAACCAGCGGTGTAACTTAAACAGCTTTTGTTATTATTTATATTGAAAACAATACTGTTTACTTTATTTCTGGTTGCTATAACAAAACTATCAACGCTACCTATTATATGTATAATGTTACTAATTGTTGCTTCACACCCTCTCTCAATTGAAACGTTTTACATATCAACTTTATAACAAGTTTAACGTTTGACAAAAATTATTCAACTTAATCTTAACTATAGATTTTGTAAACATGTCGGCTAGCTGCTCATTTCTTGGTACATACTTTTCATCTATTTCATTATTCAAAATCTTATTCCTGAAAAGTTAGAGCAGTTAGTTAGTTAGAGCAGCTGTACTAACTAGTACAAGCTGGAACTCGCCTATTTTCTTTTGTATGTTTTTTTTGTACAATTAAGCTTATTTTCTAATAAAGGCATTTATGAAAAAATGATACTTTATGTCGACATGTTTTAAACATTTGTGCTGTTCGGAGTTTCTTGCGATTTTTATTGCCGACTGGTTGTCTTAATAAATCATTGTAACGTTGCTATTGTCATTTATTAAACCCAAATCAGTCATTAAACTTCTCAACCACGAAGTTTCAAACGCGACATATTCTGCTTCTGTTGAAGATAACGACACAACTAACAGTTTTCGCGAACACCACAATACAGCGTTGTGGAAAACTTTGAGAACATAACCGATGGTTGATTTTCGGTCATTTATATCACCGCCCCAATCTGCATCTACGTAACCAAACATGGACTTCCCCTGATGTATCGTAATACATATTTTAAAGCATTATTCGCACAATGTTGGTATCGACTTAATGTATTAATAGTTATCGATAAATCTAGCCTGGTCGCAATAGCTGCATACATTAATAATCCAATTAGCTTCCTACATCCAGTTTCTAGTTCTTGACTTGCTGGTGCTTTGCTTTGTTCCATCTTGAAGTTTTGATTCATAAGTGTTCCAATTGGTTTGCAATCTTCTATTTTATATGCTTTTAATATTCTTTTCAAATAAGGTATTTGATGTAACACCATTTTCTCTCCCTCTTGTTCTATTTTTATTCCCAAATATATTCCTACATTTCCCAAATCTTTCATTTTTAAATTCCCTTTTAGAATCATTTTTAGCTATTCAATTTTGTCCTTGTTGTTTCCAATTATTAGTAAATCATCTAAGTAAATTAGGACATATATTCGAGTTTCTTTGTCTATTTTTGTATATAAACAATAATAATAATAATAAATAATAATAATAATAATATATGTTCCAAACCAACCATATTTATTCTTTGCTGTTGTTATTTCTTCTGGCTGTTTTAAATATATCGTTTCTTCTATATTGCGTAAACGAGCTTTTTACATCCATCTGTTGAATATACCACTTTAAATGATGTGTTATAGGTAAAAGCTGTTTGCAGATACACTGGAGTAGAGATATCGCTATAATCGATGTTTTGTTGCAAAAAAAACCTCTTGCTACCAATCTCGCTTTGTATTGTATCTGTTTTTCATTTTCTTTTATCTTGAAAACCCATTTTACATCTATTACTTTTTGATTCTCTGGTCTATCTAGTTAATCCCAAGTTTCATTTTCTAGAAGACTATTTATTTCAGATTTTATTACTTTTTCCCAGTTTTTCTTTTCTGTACTTTTAGGCTTGTTTGTAACTTAATGGTTCTTCAATTTGAGTTATCAAACAGGTCACATAATTATTGTATTTAGGTCCATTACTACCATCTTTTAGTCAAATTTATCTTATAGATAAACCCATCTACTAGCCAATAAGAGCGCGTAAAATAGCTGTAACCGTGGTAATAATCCCTTAGATAACTTAACCAGAAGATGGTAGTAAGGAGTCTTAACTGGTCTTTTTAGGCCCACTTTTACCATCCTCCTGATAAACTATCTAGAGGATAGCCATGGTTACGGCGGTTTTAAGCGTTCTCATTGGCTAAGGTCCATTACTACCATCCTTTAGATAAATTTATCTTATAGATAAACCCATTTACTAGCCAACCAGAGCGCGTAAAATAGCCGTAATCGTGGTAATAATCCCTAAGATAGCTTAACCAGAAGATGGTAGTAACGAGCCTTAGGCTTTAGGCCTTAGGCCTTAGGGTTTATCTATAAGATAAATTTAACTAAAAGATGGTAGTAATGGACCTAAGAGTTGGATTTATCTATGGGTTAAATTTATCAAGAGGTGGTAAAAGTGGGCCTTAGTGAGCTTCTATTTCTTAATCTTGTGGTATTACGTCTTTGATTATCCATTTTTTTAAATTTTCTTCGTATTTCTCTGTACCTTGAATTGGTCCTTCCTTTCTTCTCCTGTTAGTATATCAAAAAAATTCATTTTACTTTACCGCCCATAACCTGTAAGAGGTGGTGGTCGTAATCTTTTAATTAAAAACCAGCGGTGCAACTTAAACACCTTTTATTATTATTTATATTGAAAACAATACTGTTTACTTTATTTCTGGTTGCTAAAACAAAACTATCAACGCTATCTCTACAACTTTTATTTAAATTAACTCCAACACCATTTATTATACAGTATAATGTTACTAATTGTTGCTTCACAGCTAGTTCTACTTTTAGTTCAATAAAAATATACAACAATCTATCACTGATTAACAACTAAAACTAGAGCTAACACTAGACCTAGAACTAGAAACATTCCCAACCCAACCCGTGCAAGTGTAAAACTAGAACTAATACTATACCTAGAACTAGAATCATTCGGGTTTAGCCCCCCGTCTCTAAAGACGGCTAAACCCGAATGATTCTAGTTCTAGGTATAGTGTTAGTTATACATAGTAACAGTGCTAGTGTAAAACTAAAACTAACAAATGATTCTAGTTCTAGGAATAGTGTTAGTTCTACATAGTCACAGTGCAAGTATAAAACTAGAACTAACAAATGATTCTAGTTCTAGGTATAGTGTTAGTTCTAGTTTTACACTTGCACTGTTACTAACGATAAGATTAACATTAGACCTAGAACTGGAAATATTCGGGTTTAGCCGCGCTTTTCTTAAGACGGCTAAAACCGAACGTTTCTAGTTCTAGGTCTAGTAATAGTTCTAATAAAGCAACTTGAGGAATAACTCGAGTTGGATTCTATGTACATTGTATGAGCGCTAACATTTATATTTAAATATACTTGATAATATTAGTAGTATGACTGAGTCCGTTCTAAAAACTGATCCGTTATATCGAGATTTTACTGTAATATTAAATTTAAAATTGATTTTCTTAACTTTTGATTGAATTTCAGTGCTGATGGTGAATATGTAGTAACAACAATGACCAAGGCCGTTTTAAGACATACCGGAAAAGTTGTCTGGACACCTCCTGCCATATTTAAATCTTCCTGTGAAATAGATGTAAGATATTTTCCTTTCGATCAACAAACTTGCTTTATGAAATTTGGATCATGGACTTATGATGGAAATCAGGTGCTCACTCGACTAAATTTTATTCGTTTTTACTTAAATTTATTTTTAGATCGATTTAAAACACATCAATCAAAAAGTGGGTGACAACAAAGTTGAAGTTGGGATTGATTTACGTGAATATTATCCAAGTGTAGAATGGGATATTCTTAGTGTACCAGCTGAGAGGCACGAAAAATATTATCCCTGTTGTGTGGAACCTTACCCCGATATTTTCTTCAATATAACTCTAAGAAGAAAAACTCTTTTCTATACAGTAAACTTAATAGTGCCTTGCGTGGGCATTTCGTACTTGTCGGTATTGGTTTTTTACCTACCAGCCGATTCTGGTGAAAAAATTGCTCTGTGCATCAATATTTTATTGTCACAAACTATGTTCTTCTTGCTCATATCGGAAATTATTCCTTCAACGTCACTAGCGCTGCCATTATTAGGAAAGTACATCTTGTTCACCATGGTCTTAGTAGGATTATCGGTTGTTATTACAATCATTATTTTAAACGTGCACTATCGGAAACCGAGCACGCACAAAATGGCACCTTGGGTTAGAACAGTGTTTATTAAAAGCGTTCCAAAGTTATTATTAATGAGAGTACCCAAAGATCTCCTTACAGAACTCGCTGCCAATAAAATGACTGCTAATAGAAACATGATTGCTAAAAGAGAATTGGAAGCTATGCCATCTACGGATTCTAGTTCATCTTCGTCTTCATCCAGTTCATCAAGACATCGAAGAAGTGGATGTAATGGATTACATTCTTCAACAACAGCTCGGTATAATTTCAACAATTTTTCTTAATTTTATTTAAGGTTTATTTTTATTTTTAGAATTAGAGGGATTACAGGAAATTTAGGAAGGTTGGGATATAATGGTTTGCCTTCGGTTTTCTCTGGTTTGGATGAAAGCGATTCTGGGAATAGAAAGAAATATCCATTTGAATTAGAAAAAGCAATACATAATGTAATGTTTATTCAGCATCATATTCAAAGACAAGATCAATTTAATGCGGTAAGAATTTTATTATAATCGATTTTTTTTTAACTATCTGTTAACTTTCAGTGTGTTAACTATCCCTCTGTTAACTAACCGTATATATTTTTATTAGATCATGAATATTTAACGATTGCAGAGTGCAAGTACTAAGAGTTAAATACAAATTACACAAAAAAATCATAAAAGAACTTACTCTAGCTTTCTTAGTCAACAACCAGAGATTCTTTGCAGAGATCCACTCATCAGTTGTTTATTGCTTGCAGCTAAATGCTAGATCATGAAAGCCATTTCTAAATCTTGCTTTGTTTTTTGGAGATGGACATTAACTTTTCTTTCTTTTTTTAATCATTACATTACGTTTACTTCTTTCGAAATAAACAGACCCAAATCGCAATTCGAAATTCCCGTTTATGGACTAACAACAACCTCTACTCAACAATGTATGACACCCATTGTATCATCACAAACTGAACACGTGATGTTAAGAAGTTACGATATTATCACGTTTGTAGGTGTTATTTATAGATATTATCTCAAACGAAATTTTTGTGTCAATCACCACTTACATACGAGGAGTGATAATTAGGAGTTGTATTGATTGAAGATCACCCGATTATATTCTAATCATGAACACAAATTTAAGGCGGGTGTCTTTCAACAATTATTTAAATTAATAAACATCAGGAAAATTTGAACTATTCCTTTTCAACCTCGATTTCGCAATTTTCAACTTAAATGGATGACTTTTAAAACGTGTATAAAATAAATTATTCATTCTGGAAACTTTAAATTTGGTATAACATAACACCAAACATTTCTTTACAACCTCAAAAAGTTTCATTTCTTAATTTCTAACCGTTTAGGAGAAAAAGCTGTTTTCTTTAACATCACTGTCAGAAAACATCAAATTAAATGGGCGATTTTTGAATATTTAAATAAAGTGAATTGTTCACTCTGGAAACTTTAAATGTTAACAAACGTTCCTTTATAAACATAAAAAGTTTCATTTCTTAATTCCTAAGTGTTTAGATGAAAACTTTTTTTCGTTTAACCTCTCTTTCAACAAACGTCAAATTCAATGGACGATCTTTTAAAACTTATATAAAATAAATTGTTCACTCTGGAAACCTAAAATTTGGTATAATGCATCTTCAAACGTTCCTTTACAACCTCAAAAAGTTTCATTTCTTAATTTATAACCGTTTAGGAGAAAACACCGTTTAGAAAAAATGGATAACTTTTTTAATATTTATTGATATTTACATAAAATGATTTGTTCATTCTGGAAACCTTAAATTTTGTATAACGTATCCTTAAACGATCCTTTACAACCTCAGCAAGTTTTATTTTTTAATTTCTAACCGTTCAGGAGAGAAAGCTTTTTTCTTTAACCTCACTTTCAAAAAATATCAAATTAAGTGGGCGATTTTTGAATATTTATATGAAATAGATTGTTCACTCTAGAAACTTTAAATTTGGTATAATGCATTTTCAAACAATTCTTTATAACCACAAAAAGTTTCATTTCCTAATTTCTAACCGTTGAGCAGAGAAAGCTTTTTTCTTTAACCTCACTTTCAAAAAACATCAAATTAAGTGGGTGATTTTTGAATATTTATATAAAATGAATTGTTCACTCTGGAAACTTTAAAATTGATATAATGCATCCTCAAACGTTTCTTCATAACCTCAAAAAGTTTCATTTCCTAATTTCTAACCGTTGAGCAGAGAAAGCTTTTTTCTTTAACCTCACTTTCAAAAAACATCAAATTAAGTGGGTGATTTTTGAATATTTATATAAAATG